GATATTTAAATTACAAACTTTTAGAGGTATGCCATTCGAAAATCTGACAACTACAAGTTAAGTTGTGGGCTGCGGTAATGCAGAAATAAGGCAAACAAATTGTTCCTTCATTTTTCGATTTTCGATTTTTTGAAAATGCATCTTAAAAATCGGGAAAAATCTTTAAAAAAAATTGAGAATATAACTTTAAATGCAGTTTTGTAGATATTTAAATTACAAATTTTTAAAGGTATGCCACTTTAAAATCGGTGAACCATAAGGAAAGTTACGAGCTTAGGAAATTCCGGAATAAAGAAAAATAACTATGCATCCATTTTTCGATTTTTCAAAAAGGGGTTACATCATTAATAAAAAACGGCAAAGAAAAAAATAAAAATGAACCTATAAATGCAGTTTTTTAGATATTAAAATTACAAACTTTTAGAGGTATGCCACATAGAAATCGGAGAACCCCACGCAAGGTTATAAGCTTAGGAAATGATGAAATAAGGCAAAATAGCTGTTCATCCTTGTTTACATTTTCCAGAAAGGGGTTAAAATTAAAATTAATTAATCATTAAAATTGATAAAAATCGATAAAATGTTGTAAATTTAACTGTGAATGCAGTTTTTTAGATAATTCAATCACAAGCTTTTTAAGGTATGCCAGGCAGAAATCTGATTGAAATTGATAAAGTTATGAGCTCTGAAAAAACAGTTTCGGCAGAAATAAAGAACTGCGAACTTACTAAGAAATCTAAGTAAATCATTTCAATTATTTTTGAAAAATCGTAACATAATAATAACCACCTTAAAACCTTCCACCGAATAATAATAATCAGCAAGGACAAATATTTCTCAAAGGGCATTAACAATCAAGAAGAGATTCCCAAAGAAATATTTCGGTGAAAGTAAAGACCCATATTTGATAGGAAAAAGGAGAAGTGATTTTTGATTCAATCTTTGGCATTCCGAACGCCCTCTTCTTAGGAATTTTTTTTATTTTGTACCTTTTACTTCTTTAACTACGTGAAAATACCTGACCCGAAGTACTGTAGTCGAATTCTTTTACGCTTAAAGCGCTCGGCAACTTTTCCGCAAGTTTTCCGCATTTTCATGGCAGTCAATTTGCTAAATCAAGAATGCGACAGCCGCACAAAAAGGGAGAGGGAGGAGGAGGGTAGAAGGTAAAATAAATATGCCAGCCTTCAGTGCTTTCCGCTACTCCTTGGGAAATGGACGCCAAAAAGGACCCACAGAATGGAACCCGATGCGCCCTGAATTTTCCCTCAACTGCTGTCCCTCATTCATTTTTTTTTTTCTCTTCCCCTGTCTCGGTTTTCCTTATGTATTTCACTTATTGATGAGTGGAAATGCTGTTGACATTATTTGTGTGGTCGCCGCCAGTTGGTCGCCGAATGCAATGCAAATTTGTTGACACAAACCCAAGTTGAGGCAACCAGCCTGCACTTCCAGGGGATATACTATATCTCGCCCTATCTTCTACATAGTATATATACTTATATAAATATATATAGAATATATATATATTTAGTGTATATGGAAGCTCATCTCTGATCCCCTTGCCAATCGTTTGCCCCTGAGAATCAAAGTCTCGATTCTCGTAAAAATGATTCATGATATCGCATTATTTCCGTATCATTTGTAATTTCCAGTTTCCTGCTTATTTTCACCAGCCACACACCCACACACACACACAGTCACATTCAGAGAAAGGAAGAGAAGGCCAGGGGGGGGGGGACGGTGGGAGGGAAAAGGAAGGCAGAACTGTTGCAATTACTATCTATCTGGTATTTTATAACTTTTGTGCTCTTCCTGCTGCCTTACCTCGACTCGGTCCTCTGGATTCTTCTTTTTTTTTTCCTCCATCTTCTTCTGCTGATTACAGCAGGCAAGTCACAGACACACAGATAGAAACCCATACATACAAGGGCACACAGATACAGGCAGATATACAGATACTTTCAGGAGCGAAATTGGAAATCAAAGGGGGATTTTCCATTAGAACAAATTTTTTGGGATTTTTATGATCTTTAAAATTTCATTTCTTTATCTTGATTGATAAGATTTCTTTCTTGTAACCCCTTAAATCCTCCCCCCTGACTGCGCTCCTGTTCGCATTTAGAGACAAAGTCAGAGAGCCACAGTTACACAGGCATTGCCGTCGCGTCATCAAGGTCCTGATTCCCCTTACTCACCATCACCACCACCACCACCACTGTCCTTAGCCGAATCCTTTGTTCTGGGATCTCTACGCCAGCAGACACAAATACAGAGATACTCAACACTTTTTCTTGTAGTTTTTGATGAACATTTAATTGAATTCTCTGACTACACCGCGCTTTGTCTTTCGCCCACACCCATTGACATATCTGCTAACCGATATATATATATATATAAGTATAGGTTATATAGAGATGTATCTGTGTGCACCTCCATTACATCGGATATATCCCAGAGAGCACACAAGAAGTTATGCTTTCACTGCTTTCTTCGCATATCCTTTCGCTTTTCCTCCAGCCACATTTTCCCCCTCCTATTTTCTTTTTTCTCCACTGGATATGTGTGTATGGCATCTAATTAAAATTGCAATCGGAATTTTCCAGCTCGAGCTGTGCGACAAAAAGCAAATTTATCCATAAGCCAGCGGCAAGCTACTTGCAGATATAGAAACTGGATACTGGGATGCTGGATACTGAAACCAACTTATCGGATGTCCATGGCACAAAAAGTAGCTTTGCTTTCTTTTTTCTTTGCCGGCTAACCATTCGCAAGCAGTTTGTCAAAGGTTTTAGGTGTGGGATTAGTTGAGCTTGCTGAGATGAGGTTTTCTTTGGGTTTTTTATGGCTAAGAAAGGTGGAAATTAGATCAGCATTTGGTATCTTTTTTACATTTATGGCGGTTTTCATAGTGATTTGTGACAAATTTTAAAATTCCTAATTAATCTTTAGTACTTTAACTCTACCCAAAATTCCTATAATATGAATATAGATATCCAGAAATCGATTTAGGCTTAAAGACCCACTTGTAGCCACCTACATAGCTCCTTGATTCTTCATCCTCCTCTTTAGCAGAAGGCAGACTCTGGGGCTAATTGAACCAGTTCCACAGTGGCTGCATCTATGCAAATAACCCCAGTTGCCCTCTCGTCGTTGTCTCAATGGAGGTCTCTGCCAGCAAGGATTCCCCTTGCACTTCTTGCTATGAGGAGGGGTCAGGACATCAACACCAACACCAACAGCAACACCAACAGGAACAGAAACAGACAAAACAAAAAAAAACGAAACGACTACCGACGACGGCAATATCAAACAGTAAATAGATAAAAACAACATGACTTAATGAGTGGTATTTATTTTTATGCTAATTACTTTCGAATAAGCAGGAGTCCTTGCTTGGTGGGTGTCCTCTGTGCTTGCAGTTTGCCTTAATGAGTGGGGTAGAGGGGAAAATTGTTAATGTTGTTGTTGTTGTTGTTGTTGTAGATGATGGTGAATCCTGCAGCGGGACTCCTTGAGGCTGTGGCACGGCAAATGTTTGCATAAAGTAAATGCCATTATACAAGCAAGTTGCGCTGTAAATTCACTTCAAATGTACAAAAGCACTCGCCCTGAAAGCCGTAAAGCATGCGATATGACAGGGCATAAAGGATTGCGAAAGCTGTGGGTCCTTTATCTCAGTTACCCTTCCAATATACACTCTCGCTCAGTCTCTGACCCCTTTCCTCCCTTTTTAAATATATATACTCGTATTATATATACCACAAACTCAGGACTTTTCTTTTAACCGCTCATTCAAGATCACTTCGAGATGGATATGATTACCATTATCACACATCTTGGCTGCATCCTTTATTGATAGGCAAAGCCAATTGCGATCCTTGGGCAGTTCTTTGCCAAGGATTTCGGGAAATTTCCTTCCAGAATTAACCACCAAACGTAGGGCACTGCCACCCTCCGACAGCAAGCGATTGAAAGCGGTTTAGGGTAGCATGGAGTGGTCGAGTGTAGTAACCACTTTGTGTCCAAATTATATACATATCTGAATCTCTTACTTGATCGTTTTCAAACTTGATCAAATTCCAAACCATAATGTGTTCGATTTTATATTTCTATCCAGCAAAATCCATTCGAGGAAAGTACATTTTCTCACCACTATCATGTCGGGTAGATAATCTTTCACTGATTCTAATTCCGAATCCGCTGGCAGTTGACTTTGGTAACAGATTTTCCTTTCTGCTGGTAGTTTTTCTCCAGGTCGTTTACCACCGAAAAGAAGAACGCCCACACAAAGGGTTTTTCGTGAAGGCAATTGAGATGGATCGAAGATCACAATGCTGCGTTCCCCTTCGAAAGCCTTTAGTAGATACTGTTTGGCCAATGATTGTCAGAGGTGATGCTGCTCCATGTGATGCAGCATATCCACTGTGGTAATGAAGTCAATACACTTTTCCAAGGGACAAATTATGGGCATTTGAGATATTGAATTCAAGGCAAGTTCGGGATCCTCTTTCGGTTCGTACTCAACATGATTAATAACCCTGATTGGCTTATTTTTTGAAACGTCGAAAGCTTTGCTCATTGGTAATAAATATATAGAGATGTATCTTTATAGGTAGATATGGTATTGAGTTTATCACAGCCTCGGACGTTTGGATTTGACAGTGCAGGAAAATGTTAATAAAGTTTACTAACTATTGAACTCATTTCATCATATTGATTAACACTCCTCATCTATGGCTCTGTATTGAATTAACAAAATGCTTTTGCATTTTTGTTTATTAAATTACTTGCCCTTATGCTCGGTTAAATGAATTTATAATTTTCGTAATTTAATCATACACACGCTCGTGGAAAATATCCATATTAATCCTGTGTAAATTGGTTTTAAAATTGATTAACTAACGGCTGCAGTGTCGTCAGAAACGGCAGCTAAAATCATTTTTAAATTAAAAGATATGGCAATTTGTTTTTTCAAGTGTTTAATCACTAGTAACTAGTTAATAAACTTAACAAAAAGTGGGGTTTCTTTAACTTAATAAAAAAAAATATGTAAAGCTAATCCCAAGCCTTGATAAACCTTGTATTAAAGCTGATTCTTGCGCTTTCGGCCAGGCCTTACGGCATATAGGTCTTCAGAGATAAGTCTTCCGGCTCGGGAGGCGGCCAATAGTCGCCTTTCGTGAACCTTTCGATGTTTGGTGAGATGATCCGACCTGGCAAAGCACTTGGAACAGTATTCACATTTATATGGCTTCACACCGGAATGGGAGCGTTTATGGCGGGCCAGTTCATCCGAACGAGAGAAACGCCAGACGCAATCTGGCCAACTGCAAACGTAGGGTTTCTCACCCAAATGTCTACGCAAATGGGCCTTTAGATGTGCCGGCTTGGCATAGATTTTTTCACAATTTCCGAAGGTGCACAGGTAACCCCTTTCACCGGCGGCATTTTCACTAATCTGTAGGGCAGGAGTTGGTCCGGGTGTATCAAGAATAGGACTAGCAGGATTACTATTGCCAGATGGAGTTCGATCGGAATCGAAGGCCTCAGGTGGTGGCCCCGCCAAGCGCAGACAACTGTTGCTCTCTTCCAGAAAATCCGCACAGTTATCCGTGCACAGGGGTGTTCGCTCTGGCAAAAAGTCTACCAGTTCCGGAATCTCCACATAGTTATCCAATAGCCGCTGTTCCCAGTCACTCAAATCCGGCGGAGATACGGTCAGATCATTGAAGTCTATAAATAGAGCCGGGTCCTCTGTATATGGCCAATCCACTTGGAGATTGCCATTGTTATTGCTGTCCAGTGTGATTATGCCATAGTATTCCGATTCATCATCCATATGCCGGTGATGAGATTCAGCGCCTGGGAAGCTATTATCCACATAGGGGTACTCAAAGTCCGAGGCACTGGTATGGTTTAGTAGGATATCGGCATTGGCCAGTGGCTCCTCATTCAGATCGCTGTAAAGCTGCTGGAATTCACCCGTCGCAAAGAAGTCCATGATGCCAAATGAGCGGACTGCGGTCGAGTGTCCAAATATTTATAATATCTATGGATACTCTGGATGAGTGACAGACGTCAGAAAATATGATGACAGCTATCTGTAGGGTTGAGACCAGCAGATGCCCTGCTTTTTGTCGGGAAACCCTTTCATATTAATGTGTTGGAAATCATAGAGAGTGCTATATATATAGCAAGGGTTATAAGTACTGTACTTTATAGGTATTGAAGGCTATGAATGAGCAAGGCTATAGAGTAGGCTATAGAGTAGGCTATAGAGTATGGGAAATCTTACAAAAATATGTAAATTAATTAGGATTCTAATGCAAACTTCTTACCATCATATTTCTTCGTTTCAAAAAGCATTCTAGGCATACTAAGCATACATTGGCTTAAGGCCTATCATACCCCTTTTGATATCTGTAAAGTACAAGGTATCCAAAGAGATGCATTCACTGTGATCGTGGTACGATATTGCTGCTTCCACTGGTTCGTGGCCAGGATTCCTTGGGGAATAATTAGCCGGCGTACAACGTATCTAAACTCGCTGCCGGCTTCATTAGTCCCACCGAGAGATATGGTTTTACACACACACACACACACACATATATTTACATATATTTATCCGCCAGATGTTTGCCATTGATCGGCGACACATGTGCCGGGGTTTTTGGTTGGTGGCCGGGTCTGAGTCTGAGTCCGAGAATCACCCAGAGTGTTAATCGGAATCGATTCGGTTCCAGTATTGACGAGTGCCAAGCAGTGTCAGGCCACAGATCGGACCACGGCACCTGATCACGCTCTGTACTGATCTTTCTCTTTCTCTTTCTATTTGCCCTGCCATCTCGCTTTTTTGTTTTTGTTTTGGTCGCTCTGTTATTAATTAATGATTATTATTGACGAACTAGATATGCGGATTGGGATATGGTTATTCCCGGCTGATCAGTATTTTTGAGTACAAACAAGTGTGTGTCTAGCGTATCTGTGTCAAGTGAGCTGTAGATAGGGTTTTACCATTACAAAAAAAAGTCAGAAATATGGAAATGGTGTTTGGCCTGGCAACGGTCCATTGGCAGCAGATGGACGTGACTGTGCGTGGCTGATAGTAATTTTTGGGGATTTTCTAGTTAAATGTTTTAATAATTAGGATTTGTTATCAAGGGTTTAGGTTTGTAAATCGATTTATTTGGGAAATTTGTTTTACTTTGCAGAGGAAAGTGTGGAAATGCAAAGCAAATCAAGCTAAAAATTAAAATCAAATTTAAATAACACAAAAAATACAGGGCATTGTAGAACAGAAGGAATGTTTAAATAATTAAGATACTTAACCAGCATACATGGGTAATAAAATTTTTCCATATTCTATCCTCTTAATATTTATAACCATTTTTGCCACCCACCCCCTAACATCTCCATTTCCTTGGCTGTCTGTTCCACTTTCGATTCCCCCCCAACTCCTGCTACCCCGTTGTCTATGCGCATTTCCGCATCCTTTTTCGGCTGGCAGCCCTTTTGGAAATTAACATAAATTTAACGTGCGGCTGGCGTTTAAATTTACTTTCGCCTAATGAAATAATCAGCAGTTGTAAATCCTTATGGGGGGCTCTGTAATGCCTCCCCCCAAACCAACTTCATTTTTTGGTTGGCCCATTTTCGCCAGTTTTTGGGGCGGCCTACGCGTTTTACGCTAATTGATATTGCAAAAATCAAAGGCTGCTCTCGGGCATTAAAAAGGATTTAAGGGATATCAACTGGTCTGGGTTAGGAGATACGGGATACGGGCTTTGCAGGAAACAGGAGAATCGGAGCTTCTGGATGTGACTTTCACTCTGGCAATTTGTAATTACAAGTATTGCGACTCTGATTTCCCTCTATATATATATATATATATATATACATATTTACATTATATATCCTCTTTTGTGTGGCCCAAGTGGAGTGGTTAGGATAACATAAATTAGTATGCTGCCTGCAGGCATCTCTGGTATTTTGACATAGCTGCTAGTCCACTTACTTACAGATCCATAGGCAAATATAAACATGCACTGGGAAATAATATATATGGCACTTGATCAGGGATTGCTATAAGAATGATAGGTCTTATGTTTTAACCATAAAAATCCATAAAACTATGAAAATTTATCCAAGTTTGATCTTTAAATTCAACATTTTAAGTATTATTTGTTATGATTTTTCTTTCAGTGCAGAGAAATGTGTAACCACATCTATCTATGCATCTAACTGCAAATACATTTCTCTCTTCAGATAGGCGTAGGCATGTAGGCGTGTGTGTGTGTGTGGGCACCGCAAGTGTCATAACGGAAATTATGCATACAATTTTACTGTAAATTGCACTTGGCAAAATGTTGTCACCTCAGTTTAGTTTAAGCCCCCCAGCCACCACCACCACCAACCCCTCAGAAGGAAGTACCCCCCCCCCTAAAACTCCAACTCACTTTAGCCGGACATTTTGAAGCAGCTTTGCAAAAGTATTTACAAGGCAAAGCCAGAGACTTAAAGCCCAGAAACCGGACGATATTATTATTGTCCTCCTGGCAGTAGTCAAATGAGCTAAGCGGTTGTCAGGATATAAATTCAAAGGATATAGATATATATATGTATATATATAGATATGAGGAGAAGGGCTGCGTTTGCTTCGGTTGCCTAGTTAGTACGAGTTGCCCTTATCAATCGCAGCTGAGCTGCTTGTTTTCATTGGATTAGACAAGTTTGTTTTGCCGAGTTCTTCGTCGAGCTCTTTGAGTAAAGAAAAAGCATGTTTATGCGGCTTACTGTTGTGGCAAATTAAATCGGTATCTGTATCTAAAACTTGTATCTGGTATCTGTTGTATGCTGTGATTATGGCCATTTATTTTGTGCACAACTCGACACTGCGAATGCCTCTTTTTCCCAACACACATCCTCTCTCAAATTTCTAATCCTTGTGCTTTGCTATTGATTTCTGCAAAAGGCAGAAGTTTTATGTTTTTCTTCAGGGGAAAAGAGTGTGCAATTGAAGTGCCGAAGACTAATTGAATCACTTTTGGTGGCCAAACAAGATTTTAATTGGGGAAAAAAAAGTGTACACTGCTTGGCAACAGATTTTATTAGCCGTATTAGGCAGGAAATGAAACTTAGGCAAAAATGTCATAGAAATATACTTTACTCTCTCTCTCTCTCTCTCTTTAAATTGTTTTTAGAAAGTTTTTAGTGAAATTTAATTGATGAAATTTATAACGCCAACGCAGCCCAAGGTCCAGCATTGTCCTGTTGAGCTTGGCATTTCCCAATTAATTACACAATTTAGCCAAGAAGCGCTGCAAACTTGGCGGCCAACTTTTCTGCAAGAACGAAAAGTGGATGAAACTAGTCCTTCTGCTTGGGGGGAGGGACTGCACTGCACTTTTGCACTGCAGTGCCTCAAAGTCAGTGTTTGCAACAGGTCAAAAGTTTCCTGCCAACCAACCAACCGACCAACCGGCCGAGAAGCCCAACTCCAAGTAACGATTTCGGTCGGTGTGGAAAGTTTTAATAAACTCGCCAAAGACAATATTTTGTGTGTGTTAGTTAGTGTGTGTGTGTGTGTGTTTGTGTGTGTGTAGCTAACCGAAGGGCGAGACCAGAACAATAATTTGATTTTGAGGGCAGCGGCACAGCCTGAAAGCAATTTGTTATGTCCTCAGGAAAAACACATTTTTCGAATAGGGAAAGTCGGGTGTGTGTGTGTGTGTGTGTAGGGTGTGTGTTGAAAGCTCAGGTGAAAGGACATATATATTAGAGTCGGTGGTGGCACCGAGATTAAGTCAGATGCAAACGTAATCTAAAGACAAGTGAGTTAACTGGTTTGACCCAATTTAATTAGACACCCTGGCCGGAGGTGGCATTAGTATTAGTGTTATGTCGTACAACCCCTAGTATTTGTCTTGTCTTCGCCACCAAAATTGAGCTATTCGGTTTGCAGCGGGTGTCTGCCAGGATATACTCGTATATGCCAAAAGCGAAGCTAATGCTGATGCTAGGACATCGTTGCTCCTCCCTCGAAAAGTTTGCAGTTAGAAAAAATAACTATTAAAATTGGTAAAAGGGGGTTAAAGAAGTTAATGGAAGAGATGGAAAAGTAGTACCTAGTAAAAAGGGTTAGCTTGATAAACGTCTTTACTTCTATTTCTTATTTATTTTTAACCTTTTTACAGATTTATCTTAGGGAAAATCTCTATCAGTTTGAGTTCAGGAGACTCCTCTAAAGTTAATTTTGCTTTTTTGTTAGCAAGTAATATGTGATTTTCCCTTAGTGTACGGACTAGTAAGCTGGATTAACACACCAGGTCGTGGACAACGGACAGAGGACACTGAAACAGGCTGTATTAGAGGGGCCTGACGCACCGGTATGTGTGTATATATGTACGTATCCACCAGAACACACGACATTATTGTAGCAAAAGACAGCAGCCGGGCGGCTGAGCAGGAGCCAACAATTAGTGTTGACAGACATTGCACTCTGCCAAAGTCCTCCGGGGGAATTTGAAGGCTTGTTCTACACACGCACAGCTGTCAGTGTATGAGATGTACACACACATTCGCATATACATATATATATATATATATCCACATGCCCAAACATCCGCACTCACACACACGCCCAATCCATGTACTCGCATATAATTTGAGTTTTCTCCGTGTCGTGTCAAACTGTTGGGAAATTTATGTTTAGTGCAAAGTGCCTACAGATTGCCACACAGAAAACGGGTTTTTCCTCCTAATAGCTTGGCTCGATGTTTGGCCCAACTTGTATAACAGTTGGTATTACAATAAGTATGACAGCTGAAGGGTGATGAGAAATGGCCACGAAATGCCAAAGTCTAAAAGAAGGTTTTAAAAATCTGAAATGTCTGTCAATCGTATTTTGGTCAAACTAACCAATGAAGAAACAATTAAGTAGCGGATTTCCTTGCGTTTATTGGGCGATGAAAGCAGCTGGAATGGCTGGTTCTTCCTCAATGA